TTGAATTCACTGGTTATAGACTGCTCTCGATATTACACGTCAAACATTTTGAGATAGTTTGATTGCAAGTTTGTCGCAATTTTTTACAAAATGTTTTCCAATAAATGCATTCACTATAATTTATTGGAAATATTGAAAACGGGTCCATGCATATATATATTTCAATGTATGATGGTCAATGTCAAATAAAACAAATAGTTTAAACGAGTGTTTGATCATCGAGACATCAAGGCGGAATGCAAAATTCCAGTGCATACGGGAAAAGCCTCTTTCCAAGGATAAAAATCAATTTGCACATAGATTCGAGGCAATTCCCACATGTACTGGAATTTCGAGAATACTCAATACTCAAAGCTGAAGTTGGTTTTATCTTTAAATGGTGCACCGGTGTATCAAGACTCTCTGCAGAGTACACACACTAAATCCAAGAAAATTTGTACTGACCTCTTTGTGATACGTTTTGTAATTCAGTAGTAAATGGTTTATAAAGACCAACATGCATTCAATTCGCTTCAGCTGCAGTGCCATTTTGTGCTATTTTTATTTTGTACCATCCACAAAATTGGTGTAAAGTCAAATAAGCACGTGAACAAAATTTGACTATTAATGGATAATTAATTTGACTCTAGAGTGAGCGCACTTAATGCGTGCAACTGTACAAACTAAATAGTGATGTTTAGGTGTATTTAGTAAATCCTGCATGCGATACGCAAATTAAATTGAATTGATACAAATGAAGCATTCAATGCCGTCTTGCTTCAGGTCCACTTTTAGTACAAATTAGAACTACTTATATTTTGTACAGTTGCACGGATTAAGTGCGTTCACTCTAATGCGTTCATTAAAATTGCAGTCTTAAACAGTTCTGCAATAAAGTGCGTTCCCGTAACTCTGAATGCTTTATATCGATAACTTGATGAGTGTGAACAGCGCATAAAGTGCAGATTGCTGTCTTTGAACAGCTCCAACCTTCTTCATAAGCTTGTTCTTTTTGGAATCAAAAATGAACTGACATCAGATTCGAATTCTAGACAAGCATATTGCCCCACGATCTCTACGGCAAATAGTTGTCAAATTCCAGGCATTTCCAAAAATTTATTGGCGGGCTTGTCGTGCGATTGCCTTTTTGGCCAATTGGTTGGGTCCTCTGGGTTGGGTCCACACATCCATCCTTGTGCTTCGGAACAAAGCATTTACTCTTCGAGTAGTATGCAAATTGGCAGCTACTCAGTGTTCTATGATTAAATGAAGGAGCAAAGCAAAAACAAAAGCAAGGGATGCAAAGAGACCATTTTAGTTAGATTTGTTGCCCACTGTTGGCACAAATGAAGTAGCTGGTTTGATGGTGGTTGAAGCTGAACTACAGTGCTGTTCTATGTCTGTAAGGAAATTATTGAATTCTTGTGACAAGCTTTTTGCTTCTTTATGCCATCCTGAACACCTAAAATTGCGAACTTCTGTTTCACCCAATGAACCTTGAAAGCAAGAAAAGTACCAAGAAATGTTAGGTTGATATAATTAGTCGAAATACTTGGCTTGCAAATTACGTCATCACGCCTTCGATAGCTTTGTTCTTTATTTCTCAGGGGATGCCTGGTCAGTGTGGTTGCACACCAAGAATACACTAATTTGAAGCTGATTAAATGTGATTTTCACTAGTGAACGTAACACGTTCAAGGTTTCTCTATATATTGGAAGTAAAAAAGGTATCTCACGACATCATTTGCTTTCATATATAATCATTTGATAAACAGAATATTGCATGGTCGCTTGGAGATACGAATTTTATCTTCTCGTGTTGAAAAACTCTTCAACAAGAAATCCGTATCTCTGCGGGAACACGTTAAAATATCCTCTACAAATCACATATTATAGAAAACGATTTTACAAATATACGTAGTTAGTGAAAAGCATAATCATCTCATTTTCTACACATCTTTACCTGATATAGCTAAATCTTTGTGTAGAGGAAAAGTTACTCCACAGGCTGCGCTTTGCTCAGGGGTTTTAATCTTTATRTAAGAAGTGTTTCCATTGGTGATGTTGCTGATTTTATTCAGTCMTTTATAAATCTGTTGTACTTTGACTGTATACATTCGGTATCGGGTCATAGGYAATGATACATTGCCTATTAACGTTTCAGAATCAACTTCTCCGCGGAGAACTTTAAAGTAAAAAGGAAGGAGGAAGATTAATCACTGTTAGACATTCTGTTATTGAGATTTAGTACTTTCAACAACATTTAAAAGAAACTCGAAAATGCTTTCTTATGTATTCTAATCTCTAATTCTATTTTTGTTCTAAAGTGTTAAGTAACAATGCGCTAAAGAACTAGGGAACTCTCTATTGTTCTGCGGCATAGCGAGTTCCCCATGTAGGAATGTCTTGGTTTTCACACTGATTATGTATCCATCTGTGGGTAACACATTTTTGAAATAAAATGTGGATAAACTTTATTTTGAAACAAAGTTTCTTTTGTATTAAAAGCTCTTATCCAATCATAAGCACTCAAAACAATAGCCAAAAGATGCTTCTAATATTTGCTATGTTCCCCACGTAGAATTGCCTTAATATTAAAGCTAAAGAAAGCTTTCATGAAAGCGAAAACAGGCATTAAATAAAATATTAGAAAATTCGCTAACTTGTGAAATTATAGCAGATTTTCATGTTTTAACCAATGGGATGGATGGATTATACAATGCGCAATTAGCACCTTCTTGCATTCCTGTGCCGTTTGCTTCCCTAGTTCTTACTCGGGGCAATACTTTAAAGATCTTTTTCTAAACCAACATCGTTATATCACCGTTCAAGGAGTTTTCGTGGTTTCAGATTCATAGTGCATACAGTCAAGAAGTTTGAATTGAAAGTTTATAATTGCCATTTTTGAACACAGCTACGTGAAATTAATAGCAGCAATACGTTTCGATCTTAAAATCCACTATGCAATGATAATGTCACAGTATTCAGCAACGTTTTCTGAAATATAGCTGTATACTACTAAGATGAGAGGACTACGACGGGATTTTAATGCCACTCATGTTGTTTTCTTTCCTGAAGAAGAATATTTTAGGGGAACTATGGTGGCCACTCTGTATAATAGGAGTGCTAATTTAGCATATATACAACGAACAAGTAGGCACATCGCGACTGTATATAAGAGGCACAAAGCAGAATATATATTGTAACGTTATATTGTAACGTTATATCGAACAGATTTTTATTTCATACCTACATAGGCCAATGAAAAAATGTACAGTCAGTAATAAATAACTTCCCGGTTCAGAATTGTCTGAGGTTTAAAAAGTGGTAGGTTTTTGGATCCATAACGACATACGGTTAAAGATTTGCTTTATTAAAACTTCATTTCACTTCCATTTGAATGGATTACAAGAAACAAAATCAGCCTTTTTTGGTTTTCTTTGCAGTTTATACCACTTAATATTTTAAGCAGAAGTTTAAAGATAACTCGCAGTCACTCATGAACTGACTTAAAAAAAACAATCACAAAAAATAACGTGTCTCACCGTAATCAGCTTTGCACAGAAACCCTGGCTTGGAAGTATCCACAACGACACATTTACAAGCGTTCGAATACGTAAAGAACAGCACAAAAATAATCGCGATAATCTTCATTTTTCGATAAAGAAAGAATCGAGTTTATAAACTTAAAGCTTCTTGTGAACCAACATAAATACAAAGCACAACGAAGCTTCGAAGCGACCGCCTATTGAATAGGGCCCGCGATACGTACTTCCTGCGGTAAGAAATCATGGTGTGCCTCAACAAACACCAGTTTTCGGATTCGGCTGCATGCAACGCATAATGTTATTTTCTTTCCTTTTTTATAACAAAAATAGTTTTTTGTTTAATTCGACAATTAGCACACACACAAAAAAAACAACAAAACAAAAAAGCGAAATTCGATCAACAACAGAAGTAAAAGAAAAATTTTGTCCCTTGCAAGGTAATGCAGAGTAAATATGACTTCCGAATCCTGGAATCCGTCGTCGTCCGTCATGTACATAGCAAAATATGGTTACCGCGCAAAAACAGTGGGGCACATTCTCGTACCAAAAAGACTTTTTGAATTCTATGCGTTTGACCGCTGACTTTTAGCCATTAAGACTCTGGGGCTTGAGATTGAGTGGCGCGAAAACATCAATAATTATTTTTTACAACGAAATTTGTCTTCCAAGATTTTTTTAACTTTTAATGAAAAAATTATTTGAATCTCGAGTGAAAAACAGGAATCTGAAATCCGAACGAATTCCGATCAAGAAGTCCGCTGCCACACTTTTTGGCTTCATTCCGTTTTGAGGGAGAAGATTCGAAAGCACTTCGGTAATGTTTAGAATTTCTTTGTACGCAGGCATAATTACTAAAAATAAATGATCCTCTGCGTTTACATGATGTTTAAATACAACCGAGCATTCGACCTAAGCGGCCATAAACAACGCAAAAACACGGAAAGAGCGCGAGGAAACACAGCAATACAGCGCGAGGTATTTACTCATAGATAAAATCAGGAGTAATGGGCTCCTGATAAAATGTTGAATGAAATGAAATGAAATGAAATGAAACACTCTAGATATATTTGTAACAATAAACTTAAATGAACTTAAACAATGGTTTGTACGTTTCTGGTATTGTTCTGCCAGTTCGGTAATGTTCGGAGTTTTAATTTGCGGGAGGAAATTCACTAAATGGCGGTTAGCATTCGACGGTTGGAGTTTGCATAAGGGTAGTGAGAATTCCCCGCACTGTCGAAACGCACCATTCAGAGAATGAAATCGAACGTTAATGACTAATAAGAACCATACTATTACTAATGGACTGAACGGAAGCAAAAACGACATGACAGCCCAAAACATTACTCTCGGCCTTTATATTGTCATTGTGAGTGAATTTTAGCTAAAAACATCTTCTCGAAAATCGATTCCAGTGATTATGAAATGATAAACGACAATTGGCGACCACATTAAGATCAGTGATTAGTGATTCAACCAGCAAATAAATAAGGCTTCGCAGAGGGTAGTCGCTTCAAACTGATGTATTTATCTTTATAAAGTAGCCTGTTTGAAAATCATTCATTTTATCAGTATTTTAATTTACGATATTGACAAAAAGTATCTTAGACACTTCTGCAGGCTCATTTTAGCCAAATTGCTTCGCATGCTAGCCAAAAAAATACGACGAATAAATCAATAATTAAAGTGACAATTTTTCTGGTTTGAGCCTTAAAACGCGTGCCCTTAACACGGTCTAAAAATCCTTCACAATCTGTGGGAGTCGACCCTTCAGCTCGGCAAACCCATATTCTGATCAGTTAATGCAGAAATTTTGGCGTGCATAAATGATTGGCAGACCGGGAAAATGCAAAAAGACTGCTGTTATTGAATTGAACTTGCCCGCTTGAATTTTCTTTTTTTTAAGAAATGTCGAATCGACATTCTTATGGACATATTCTTCTAGTTCGACGCCAGAGTTTCATCCCTACATATTTTGATCCATGTGAATTCCAATTGGCGCATAACAGAAGAGATTGCGACTCCGACTTGCAGGAAACACCTGCTGTTGAAGAAAGCTCGCAGTACGATGACTACGACACCGAAGAGACGCTACAAACACAGCTAACCGACTCACAGACCTCTCTCCACTCACTGCTGCAGTTTTTGGCCAGCTATCACGCGATTTATGAAAACCAAACAACTCGATTTCGTAGTTCTGCTCTAGCTAACCTTTTCTCGTGCAATGTGAGTAAAATGTCGCATGAAAATAAATCGAAACTTGACTGTGATGGTTACTTTGGTTGTCCAGAGGAAAAGCAAATCTCCAAAGAAAGCGGTAAGATTAAAAGCACTCAACATTTAGTATTTTATCTTTTATATACTGCGTTTTCTAGACAGTAAAACATTAGAAAAACATTTCAAAAATACAGTATTTGAAGTAGTCGGCTTAAATAGTCAAAGCAAAAAATGCGATCAAAGTCATGTTGATATTTAAAAATACAACTGACGCTATATTCTCATGAATAAAACAAGCTCTGTTGATATTTTCAACCTCTTTTTTATTTCAGACTATTTTTATATCTTCAGTACCAGTAGTAAATTCTTTAATGATGTAGATACGTATATAAAATGACATGCTTCTGGAGAAATATGCCCACACTATGCTTTCATAAGTGTCGTTTTTCTATATTTTTTTTTTTTTTTGTTTCATGCTGTTACGATTTCCTTATAAATAAATGTCGTTTATGCTGATTTTTAGCTTATTTTTGAGTAAGCGGCAAGTTAAAACGTTTAATAAGAAAATTAGAGTTCATGAAATAGCTATTTTGATGTGCCGATAGTGAACAAAATTGTGATGCGTCGAAATGTGAATCAATACATCACATCAAATTTGCAAAACTATAGAACAAATGTGTGTACACTAGGTGGAATCTAGCGATAGAATAGACATTAATATCTTGTACTTTCACAATGAGCTTTTTATTGTTAAAAAATCTAAAATCTAAAGCAGTCTTTCACATGGAAAAAATAATATATGATTTATAATTTCACTTGCAAAAACAGTCGTCGCTAGAGAATGTTTTTAGTTTTCCAGATAACTGCTAGGGATGTTTTTTAAAAACCTTTTAATAGAGGTCATTGAAAATCGTTTTGTTCAGATTTGATGGTAGTGCACTCTTAGAAAAACAAATGGATATGACTTGTATTCGTTCAGATTAGCCTTATTCCGAGATCGTGGTTAAAACGGAATGGCTATTGATCAATCAGTGCCATCCAACATTGTTGGGAGATCAAACAAATTGTTTCAATTGTTGGATGGCCAGACAGCTACAAACATTGCACATCAAGCAAAAAGGGAAATAGAGCCATGGTTAGCGTTTTATAGAATTCTACAGGGCAAGGTGGTCATTATTGGATCGCTCTCAGTACTGTTGGATGTTGGATAAGTCTATGCAGCTATATTCTCAGAATATAGCTGCATAGCTCAATAGCTCAATATTGACCACCTTGCTTTGTAGAATTCTATAAAACGCTAATCATGGCTCTATTTTCCTTTTTGCTAGGAATACGGAATCAAATAATCCAAAACTCACACTAAATTATTTGCATATTTATTCACGCATATCTTTTATGTGATCTGCAAAACAAACGACTTTAATCTCAATGGTATTAGCCCACAGTAGTGTTGGCAGGAAAAATATCAATACACATATTCTTATTTATATTCGCGGTTAATTTAAGAGCCAACACGTGCCTTGTTTGAGTTTATCGGCATACCCAGTCACCGCAAAGTTTTTAATCAACAACCGCTCTCAATTAATTTCTAAGCGGATTTAGCAAAAACAGTTAACTGGTACGGCTACATAATGCAATGAAGTTTTTTTAATGGTTATGTTGGTCGCTATTTTGATACAAGCGGCCCCAAGTGGTAATACCGAGAAGTACCACTGAAGACAGGGACGGATATAGCATTTTTTTTGTTTTTGTTTTGTTTTTTGTTGTTGTTTTTTTTTTGTTGTTTTTTTTTGTTTTTTCAATTTGATGTGAAACTAGACACGTGATAAATCCATTAATGGTTTTTTTAACGTTCTTTTAAATATAGCTACTTTTCCAAGGAGACGTCGTCCGGTATGCATCATACCGTGGAAGAAAAGACCATCCATCATAAAATCAAGCAAGAAAAACAAATCCAGCACAAAACAACCAAAGCCGAAATCAAATCAAAGGCCCGATAGTACTGATGCATATTACGTGACCAAAGTAGATTGCGTTACATCGACCCTTGAGAGAACTAGGGTATCTGGTATAAAGCTAAGAATTCGTCCCAAAGTACCTCCTCAGACACAAAGCACCAAGTCTCACCCAGCGATGTTCTATAGCTACTTTGTATCGAAAGGCTGTCAATATCGCAAGGCTTGCGCTCCAAAGAGAAGATCGTGTGACGGATTCTTTGGATGTCATGATGGTGATGATCATTGTAAAGACAGCAAGGGAAAACGAAAAGGTATAGAATCACTCAAACCGGTTACTGAGTACATATGATATTTGTTGAAGTATTTTGCTATATTTCTGTATGATGTTGTTGTTGATTAATTTCCATATTTATACATAACATTTTTTTCACAATTTTTTTGCTAGTTTTTTTTTTCGTTGATTTTTATTTGCGTCATGCAACAGCAGGGATATCACTTTTAAACAAACTCGACCTACCCTGACATCTCATTAAAGATTATAGTGTAAAATTCAAGGGTTTTTCATGCGAGCAAGATAATTTTCACATCAATGTTGGTATTATTTGTACTTTTATCAAAAGAATCGGATTTTCAAGCTTGAAACATTTCAAAATAACAGTGAAAAACAAGGTGATATTGATTATTATGTGGTTGATATTGTGTCAAAATTGCTTTGGGAAAATAGGAGATGTTTGCCTATCTGGGCAGCTAATGTTGAGGAAAAAGGAAAGCACTTAACCAATGACACACCCTCCCATTACAACATATAGGCAACAAATGTTTGTACATTCTTTTTTGCTGTTGTTCAAAAACAGGAAAACTATTTACCATGATTTATCAAAATGTTACATTTGCTTTTCAGTTATACATAACAAAATTTCTTTCTTGTTTTTTTTTTCTTCCAGGAAAAAAGAAAACCCACGCAAATAATTAAGTTATACAAACTAAGTGAAGTTCCGCTTACATTATTAGGATTTTTTATAATTTATTGGTCTTTATTGTGCTTTTGGTGTTTCGCCTGTTTATGGATTCGGGACCTAACTATAGAACGAGTAGATTTTCTCCCTTTGTAAGGTCATTYGGAAATTTAAAAAAACGGAAAGGATTGGTTGGAATTCCCATCCAAGCGRCTGAAGTCTGGATTTAATGCCACAAGATCCGGAATCCAACCTAGTTTCCGGTGTTACCTTATTAGCCTTAGGGTCGAGTATTTACTATTTGAATATAGGTGGTCATTGGACGAAACAAGGGCTGCAGCAGCCAACATTGAAAAAATGGAAATGTTTTATGGAGTCTTAATGTGCCATAAGAAAAATGAAGATAAAAATAGCTCGAAGTACTTTACAATCAAAAATTAAACAGGCGAAACACTTTAAATACATATAAGATCTTTTGATTCGAAATCAATAGGCGATTTGGTCAATGGTTTTCCAATTAAATCTGTTTATATTCATTTAGGCATTTTTTTCAATTCTTTAGTTATATGTTTTACTATATATTGAAATTTTACATTTTTACTCTCTTTATCAAATTTTAGGCGATAAAAATATTAAATAATTAATGAATCAATTAAAATCATTTTCGTATTTCATTATTGTATAAAACATATCAAATACAACAAACAATTCTAAAGAAACAAATTATACTGTTAACTGTTAATACTGTTTAGCGAAACTATACTAATTGTAAGCTTTAATACTAGAGCAAAAATAAATATGAACATACCATTTGTCCTCTCGTGCGGATAAGCAGTCCGTGTTGTTTGAGTTCATAACTGTGAAACTGCACAGTGCATTCGAAGACCGCAATGAATTGTTATCATTAAGCTTCAAGTTACTTACTTCATAATTTATTTAAAAATAACAATTCTAAATTTACTAAATTGCTTTCCACTGAAACCCTTGAATTTACGGAACTGGAATAGTCACTCTGACACCTCGGCCGGAATCACCTTTTGAACGGCGATAAAACGAGTGGAATACATCACTTTATCATATAATTAATTTGGCCTGGGCTCGACTTAAGTTCTACCTCAAAAAACGTTGTCGTCACCACGACACAGTCCACAGTCTTGAGCCTGCAAAGAATCTTGGGGTTTCCATGCGTAATTATATCACAACAACAGTTTTATTTATGAATCATCCTTATAGTTACATGTGAAGTTTACCCTCGCAGTTAGTCCAAGACTATTCGAGGCGAGGGCGATAATGAAGGAGAAAAWCTAGTATAAAAATGTCAAAAATCAGTCACAGTTTGAGTACGTATATTAGGAAATTATTCAATAAATACTAGGGTAAATATAAAATATAAAATGATGACAAAGGTGTTCCTCAGTATGAAGCCTTTAGCTCGTTAATAATCTGATCGATATCTAAAAAATCGTCTGCTTTTTCTAAAATCTCGAGAGAGATGCTCTTAATCAGTGTCTTGAATTTGAACTTATTCAGACTTTTAATAGAAACAGGGAGACTATTCCAGATTTTAGAGCCCATAAAACGAAAAGAACGCCTACAAGATTCAGTCCTGACGCCATCAACGTAAATACATTTATTTGATGTTGATCGTGTCGTGTATCGATGGACATCTTCCAATGATCTGAATAAGCAGTTCAAATTGTCTGGGGCTTGACTGTTGAAAATATCATGCATCATAATGCATACCCGCTCAAAAAACATGAAGTTGATGGGAAGTGAGTGTATCTGTAGGATACACTCACTTTTGTATATATTCAAAATATATTGTGTTTGAATGCAATGGCGGCAAACACTACTAATATACTATTGCGGCCCATCGAACAAGTCTTGCCATGAGAMATTTTCCTTGAAATKAATATTCCACGTCAATGAGTTTCAAAGCTATATTCGCTGTGAGACCGAGAATAATCCAGTTTCCAATGCTCTGTGTTAGCCTAATTTGTTTGCAAAATATTCCTAATTGTGAGAATAAAAGTGTGAGATTTCAAATCAATTCTATTGTCTCAATTTTCAAATTCCATGAGTTGTCTCGGGATATCAATGAAACAAAAKAATATGTTGATTGGTTTTGGAGCTAACACAGAGCAAACCAGAACTCGAAATCGGAGTATTTTGAATAACTGAAATATTATATATGGCAGTCCCGAGATTCTTTGCAGACTCAAGACCGTGGACTGAGTACTGGCGACGACAACGTTTTTTGAAATAGGTATATCTATCTATCTATCAACGTCGCGTATAGTCCCCCATGATGCTTTACGAACTTAAAAATGGTCACGTGGCCTGATAACATAGGAGACCCAAAGTCACTTAAAACAAAATGGCTGACAGACGGCGGCAAAAAGTTGTCTCGTTTTAAATGGGTCTAAAATGTAGCTAAAATACTCTAAAGAGCTGAAAATCTAACAAAATCAACTGACTAACATCCAAATGACACGGAATAAGATATATAATTCAAGGTTGTCGGATGATTCGTGCAGAAATGACTGGGCATTTTCAACCGCCGACACGAAGAACACTACGTCGCCACAACAAGTGCTCGATGTCAATCACAAAATCTTCAAAAAATAAGAAATCCCATGAATATTTAAGGTTGATACTTTGACAGAAGAATAATTATTCGATGGACTAAAACATATCAAACCTCATCTGAAAAATATTGATGCCATTTTCTAAGCTGATGACATGTGTTTGGACTTGAAAACTGCACGTGTACGTGCTTTACTGAACTCTGTACAAAATGAAGCATTTTAATTCTTTATTAAAATTTGTTTTGATGATTGTTTAACTTGAAAAACTTACACAAGATCTTACATGATTCAAACGATCAAAATAATTTTCAAAGTTGTACGATACTGACAAAACTGCAAAGACTGTACCGTTTCTATGGTTTATATGACCTTTCAGATATCTTGCATTGAACATTATAGACGCTCTTGAGCGTATTTTTGAGCTAGTTATTTTGGAAAACTGAGAAAGACATGATATCTAAAGAAGTTAATTAGAGTTCAGTTCTGTAAAAAATTATGATCTAATAAATAACTTATATTAGCTTTCGATGGGATATGTAATTGATGTATGGTATATAACATCAACAAAAATTTTGAATACGAAAAAGCTAACGGCTTGCTGTGAGTATACATGTATCACTTATGGCCTACATAAGTGTTAAACATGATCGTAGCCCGACGTCACGATCGATTCCGTCTATAGTTATCTATGAAATACCTATATTTCTCCACTTTCGTAAAGGTTCGAGGTTTGTCTATATAGTGGAAATAAGAAAAAAGGTATTTAACGACATAATTTCCTTTCATATGTAATTATATGATAAACAAAACATTACATGGGCGCTTGGAGATACGAATTTTATCTTCACGTCTTGAGAATCTCTCACGAATGAGCGTAGCGAATGAGATAAGAAAAAAAATATAAAAATAAAATCCGTATCTCCGCGCCCTTGTAATATCCTCTTTTTAAGTAATATTATGCTTCTGATTCCTTGTATTATGTTGGACTGTTTTACTTATGAATCATTTTTTCTGAAATTATATTTATGATAAAGATCAGAAGAAACTTGCGATAAGCTAAACATTAGTAATTCAATATTTTTAACTATAAGTGCTATCCCTGGCAACGGGGTGACACAAACACTGTGCAATTTTATGTTGGTCTATGATCGTCTGTTTTAGATAAATGTGACGCATCCCTATCATCTTTAAGAGATCAACATCTAGTATTCAAATAGTTGTCATTCAATAAACAAACAAGAAAAGAGTTATCAGTTTTGAATTGACGTTAGTTTGCCCTATCCGAATTAGTAACGTAGATGAGAGATACTAGTAGGTCCACCCAACTCCGTTGGTTATCATTCCCTGAGTATAATTGAGATTATTAATATTCGAGATGCAGCGAATAAATCTCTATTAAGGAATGATGTCCATATAATTTTGCCACTAAAAAATCTTTTTCGTATTTGTCTAGTTTCCTCAGGTAATTAATAACAAACCACCGCCGTATTTTTGGTTGCGATAGGACGATTACATTCATGGGCTAACAACACGGCAAATTAGTTCCTTCTGGACTAGTGAACTTGCAGCTGAGCTCATGGCTTCGGCTATTTTTTACCATATGTTTGATAATAATAACTTTTTTTTTTCAATCAATATGTCTTAGTTAGGATCGTGGGCTGTCCTTTCAAGCGTTTTGAGATAATAACTTTTTTTTTTCAAATCATAGAAGTCTAATTTACATTGGTATGAAATGAGAAATGCTGAAAAAATACATATATGAGAAATGAGAAGAAGAGAACACTCGACCAATGCAGGCTGACTGCAATCAAAAATATTAAAGAAACCTAAAATATTGATAAAGCAATAGGTGAGAATGGTAAAAAAAAACAAACTCTGAAATACCTTAAACTAATTTAATTGAAAAATTAATTTGAATCATTATTAGAAAGTCGGCAAGTGTAGGATAGTGAATACGTCACTCAATAATAAAAAAGAAATGAGGTGCTATGTGGTTTAGTTTAGAACCACACATGAAAAACTTCACGTTAGTATTAGTATATGAAATACTAAATGACAAGTCTTACCAAGTGAATACGAAAGTGGTCTTGGATTTTCTTTGTTCTTATTGTCGTGAATATTTTTGAAACTGAATGGTAACGTCTAGCATCTTTTTGTCATTTCATATTAATAGCCGACTTGCGAATTACGCATCAATAGTCACATACAAAGGAATCAAGACGAGGCGCCGTGCTAAAGACAATAGATTTTTCACAAAAAAGCACGGCGCCTCGTCTTGATTCCTTTGTATGTGATTATTGATGCGTAATTCGCAAGTCGGCTATTGCAATTATTTTCTAGTTTTATTATTTAAACTACACACAAAAGCACGGTGGCGTCAAATTAATGCCTATGATAAAATTTAAACGTAAGTTTGATGTAATAATAATTTTTAATTTGGGGTTAACAAAGATTTATATATAGACATGTCGTTAGTGACGGACATCAATCATTTTTGATATCATGGAATCTTGCAGCTGTCATTAGGAACGGTAGAGTTATTATAAATATTTGTTAGTTTATATTGACACAATAGTGAATTGACAAACCAAACCCTATTAAAGGCACTTCGACGAATCACAGTCATTTTAACCCTGTCACATGTCTTTCAACATTAGAAACAGGAGCAGTCATTCTAAGAGACTCCTTGATGCGAACGAAATCCTCATGAGCAGGTAAGCAGTTAGTTGAGTGGAAATTAAACTGTCTCTTCCCATTTCATCAATTGGTACTCGATGTCAAAATGTATATAACAGCAATGCCAAGCGACCGTTTGTGGTCTTTACGGTTTTTTTTATTTTATTGTCGATTTCTGATAATTTGGTGATTATATTGTTAAGTATTACAGTCCTTACCTAACAATCACATATCAGTGACTGACTATATTTTCGATATTGACTTATCAAAGTTGTCTACCAAAACTCAAACTTTTTCTTGAGCAAAACTTTTTTTCTCAATATATATACAACTTGAGCTTTGATTAATCAAAGCTCAAAAAAGCATATTACGTCAGAGCGAGAGATTTTCTACGCAGAATGATTTCATCACTATTAAGAATTTGAACTCTCACTTTGATGCTGTTGTATTAGTTCGGATTGCTATGCAATTTTAAGAATATGTAGTGCTAATATCAAATTATTAACATTTTGACTTTGTAATGATTCTTTCCCATCTCCTATGATCACAAAAACAACCTGAAGACATATTTTGATTGGTGAAAAAACGATGTTGCTTCTAAATATAACTTTTTGAGTTTGCATAGATTTTCCTGAAATTGCGTTATCACAATGGAAAGGGAATTAATACAAATATAAGTTTTTTCCTTTGTTCTTTGAACACAGTAGGTGCATATCATTAAGTGGAAGTTGAAAAACAATATGGTGATAATACACTTTACACATATAGCTCACTGGGGCTATCACAAACCTGTATAATTAACGGTCATTATTGGGCTTGAAAGAAGCAGAAAACCTTCTCATTTATACCGTTAATTTTGGTATCAACAATTGTACGAAATATTATATATTCATTACAGGGATTAGTGACACGAGATATCAAACAATAAATTTTTAATTTGTAGAGTGTTTGTGTACTTAGATATGTTCATTTTTTTATACGGAGAAGATTTGAAATCCTTGAATCTACAGTAATGTGTGTAAGAGGATCAAAAATCCATTTTAGGGACAATTGACTCAAAACGAAACGATTTAAAAATCTTTGTGGAAGATTAATTGAAATTTATACAGTCAATTTCAAAAAGATCGTAGATCGAGATTGTTTTAATTATCGTCAGCCAGGAGGAGGGCTAAGTTTAGTTCGTGAAAACAATTAATTTGAAATATACCACGTGAAATGTGAAAATTAAAAAAACGAATTTCCCACTTTCTACCTACCACTTTTTTAGTAGACTCCTATGGTAGACTCTACGCATGAACAAATTGGATCACTTTTTTATATCATATTTTTATATTTTTTATTTTTATTTATTTTTATTGTTTTTTTATTTTTTATTTTTTAATTATTATTATTATATATCAAAATATATATTATGTACTTATTGACTGAGTGGGAGGGCCGTACCCATATCAAAGAATTGCCCCACAAAAGTTATCCTTCGTTTAGCAGCCATATATGGTAATCTTACCTTATTTGGAAGTTCGATAGGAATGGTTTTTGTCGATTTTCTCGACTTTTAAAGCTTGAAATCGTCGGAAACTTGCAGATACTATAGCGAAAACACTTCTAAACAATCCGCCATTTTATTTGTTTCCATATATGGCATGGATTTGCTAAAGGAAGCCCAAAACTAAAAAGCATAGGGAACCCGCACGAATGATAACAATTCTTTGATATGGGAAAATATTTGGTTCGAGGTTATGCCGTACGGAACGAACGCAGCGAGGTCCGTACATAAAAGACCGAGGGCAGTGTTTTCCCATACGGACCGACCTATCGTCGGTAAATAATTTTTTTATATTTATTTTATGCAGCTTTGCTCGCAGCCTAGCTGCAGGATACAGTGGACCGGGCAGATCGTGAAAAACCGGACCGCGCGCTAGCCAATCACAGCGCGCGAATAACTAGGATAACGGACCGAAAAAAGGATAAAGCACTACAAGTAATAGTCCATGAACGCCGTTCTTCCTAGCAATGAATAACAAACAGTCATAAAATATACCGATGAAATGTGCATGCAAGTACTTTATCACTATTGATAAATTTACAAAGTACGAATACGATCAAACCACTGACAATTGATCCTAACAAACAACAAACACTACATCCTCAAATGATTTTGAAGGAGGATTTTGAAAAAGTACAGCTAACATATTTCCGTAAACTCGTTTAAAACATCAATTTTGTATACATCTAAATGTATATATAATGTAAATTGCACACTCAGAAGACTTTCGTTTGGTTCGGATTGAATTGAAAATTTGATTAAATATACTCTCTGCGTCTCCGAATCATTAGAACTCTTACTGAGAGAAAAATACTAGAAAAAATGCTAGAATATTAAAAGATAAGTAAATAAAACTGAGATCAAACGGATTTAAAGCGCACACACAATGCCAAAAAAGAATTAAGACTAGCCTGCAAATAAACTGAACAAAGACATGAAGCGCTCATTGAAAATTGCCTTTCGCTTCCCCTGAAACTCACCCAGTGGTGTCTATGTAATATTCTAGTTTTCTTTTCCTTAATCACGATACTTCATATATTATATATAAGACCGGAAGATTCACAATTATTAATTAAAAAGTAATCTAAAATAATATTTCCAATGTAAATCAATATTTCCATACTTTTAGGATATAAATTAAAATTAAAATTTGTTTTTCAGAAGTGACATTTTTTTCGCACAAAACGTAAATACAATTAGTAGTGGCACAATAAGGGCACAAAGCTCTTGTGTTCTGAGAATTTTAATCAAATCTATGACAGTCAGTGGCGCTTGAACTGTAACCTCAGTATGATCTCATCTCAAAATGACAAACCTAGGTATATTGTACTCCATAAAATGAAAAAAAGCCGAATTCCAATACAAATATGTAAACGTCACAAAAATCGGACATTGAAATGTACATCGAGTAAACCGACACCGCATCGGAAAGGTCAAGAATCTTGTGATATAACTATGAGCAATAAAATCGATAGCAAAAGCATGAGTTTCACGCAGTTATGCGTCTAGTGATGGGAGTTATAATCCGCTTAAAAACTCATACTGAATTAATGATTTATATCTGATCATCCGTTATATTAGTAACATTTATGTAAAGAATATTAATAAGGACGACCTTTATCAGATAGGGCCATGCTCCTAGCAGAGGTCTCAGAGGTCACTCATCATTGACCAATGTAGATTTCAACCACTTTCTGTACAATAGCCACAATGGTTAGTACATTACGTCATGAACAATCGATGTGGGGTATCAAATGTGCTTTGTACAGTGATTTGTGCATGATGTATAGTCCTTTTCACCCACAAACTTCTTTATGCGACCATTTCTTCAAGTTTTGAATTAGTGTTGGAGTTTTTGAAGCCGTTGGAGAAAGTGTTTTAACTAAACCTAAAAGGATTTTGTATGTACGACTTGGTGTCACAACTTCGTCTATTTGAAATACCCAAATGCTGATGTTTATATCATGAATGGCTCCAAAATACTTTTAATACTTGTTGTCAAATCGAGTTCGTAGTCACTAATCCTTGGTCGGTGGGAGATCATTTTATAGTATTAAATTTGCATATGAGAAGATTTAAACTGGAGCCCTGATCTGCAAAAGTTACAAATATAAAAGAGCTTCTGTTGGTGGCATATGCACATCGTAACGCATGGTAGAAGGGGCTTTGCGTGAGACTACTTGACAATAGTCTACTCGACATTAATGTCTATGTTCATTCGATAAAAATTCGATTTGGTAAGTCACTCAGTAAAACAGCATGCMTTTTGATTGGTTCCTCAGTAGATCACCGACCTCTATTATGAGGTTCGGTTTTGGTTTCTTGTTTGGAATACTTATCTATTGCTTGTCAATGTTTTTCTCAACCTATCGTGAGATTTGTTCCGATCGGCGCTGGCTGTTACTAGTAAAGCTCAGTCATTCGGGTTTAAGCGAGACCGTTTTATTTAACTCTAAGCTGTCCAGCCCATTCTGGACAGGCTACTCCATTTCGCTATGCGACAAACCGTTTATTAATTCAAGCTACAATCACGGTGAACAAAATACTTTGGAATTTCCACAAATCTAACCCTTGTCAAGTTAGCTCATAAGTTTAAAATTTTCTTGCCTACTTCGGCTTCCTCATTTATTGCCTACTTTGGAGGAGGGAATAGAACTTTCTAGAGTTCTGGGATTATACACAAATTAGAATATATAATGTATAAGTTAGACTACTATAAAATAGTAGTCTAACATTACTGATTTTGTTTATTATTTCAATATTGCGAACATTTAGAAAATTTATCATTGCAGCACTTGATTTGACTGATCCATATAGGCAATAATGATACCTGACAAGCAGCTACAGAAGGCTGTACTCTTCTCCGTAGGACTTCTCTGCATCATGGCAGCATACAGTGGTAATATATACCTATATCCTTTTCATTTTGTATTTCTTATTATAAAATTTTTGATATATAACGCGCGCTCTGATTGGCTGACGACCGTGTTTATATCAGAGGACAGAGACACGGCTTACCGGCAAAATTTTCTTTTCGCTCGAAAAAATTTATAAAAGAAATATAAAACGGCCGCTTGTGCCTCTGTCCTTTGATATAAACACGGTGGGAGTTGAAAAACACTCGAGAAGCAAGAGAAACACTTGCTACGCTCGTGTTCCTAAGCTTGCTTCTCTCGTGTTTTTCGAACTCCCACCGTGTTTATATCAGAGGACAGAGACACGCGCGCCGTTTTATATTTCGTAATTAAGGCACTTTCAACGGCTGAAATGAGAAACTTTTCATCTGGTATGTTAACACTTAGAACGCTCTGCAGGTGCGACATTTAATTTTAGAACAAAGTTTGGAAAATGTACGTATTTGTATGTCCGTTGGACTACTCCCATCCGTTTTGCTGTTTTCTGTGTAAGAACGCAAGTAGTTGTGTCGCTTCTGTAAAGAAAGTACAAAAAGGATTTTGAGGATGTATAAGAAAAGAGAAAAGAAAGTTTTAAGACTGCATTCCTCATATTCTGCTGTAAGCTTGCAAATGGCGTCGCTGCACATTGCTTCTATCCATTGTCCAAAATTCTTAAAATAGAAGTTTTAAGCAAAGCAACTTCGTATTTCTTTCAGTCGTGGCTGTGCGACCCAACGCATCAACAGCTGAACACGCTCTTCGTCAAGAGCTAAAGAAATATATGCCTTTGGTTCGTCCAGTGCTTTCTCCAAGAGATAAAATAAACATATCTTTTTCTGCAAAACTTATAAGCCTCATTGGACTGGTATGCACACATTGACTTATTCGTAGATATCAATATTTAAACATTCGATTCATAATACTACTATAGAAATAATTATAGATATAGTACATGAAATATATTTTTTTACTTCCAGCTATATCGAGGAACCACGAATTTGATATTTTCACTAGGAAAAATACCTTTTTTAATGTTAGTATGCAAAAGTTAGTAGTCTACTTTCAGTTTTCAATAAATCCTATGCATTTAAAAATGTCTTTCATCAGAACATCAAGAAGCAGATGGTCACGACCAAACTTTTAATTGTACAGGTACGTATAATCGACCGTATAATCCCTTTGTGAAGTTGCCCTTGATGCCAAGTCTCATTCAATCTAGCAATGTCAAAATGTCACTGGCGCAGTGTTTAACGTCATTATTTCCTTAGAAATATATAAGGGTTGTACCGGGAGGTTGTGATTTTTTTTCTCACTGTTAGAACATTCCCGATTGCCATGAAAGATCTTGGGCGAGCTTTCTCTGCAGTGGCTTCCCATTTAGGGCAGGTTCTGTTCTCCCTAAACAAGGAAGGCTGGATGCTCACACTGGGCTGTGACCCCCTACGTGTAGGAATATTGCTAGCGGCCACCAGCTTAGACTAAGACCTGCCGTTTCGCACTTGCAAAATTGTCACAGGACCTTCACCTTTTCCTCTCATTCCCCCATGATGAATTAGATATCTAGTATTGAAGTGCATTGACGATTTGGTGATTCAAACTTCGTCTATGAAAATGCTAAACTCCAGACCAAAATAGCTTTAACATCCCAACACAATACAAATTTAATCATTTCGATGACCAATGTTGATAGACCTAATTCAATTCAGATGGTCCTTGAAACACACTCTAACAGTCAATAGGAGAAGGGGATTTGGAAGATTTACAAAGTATTTGTCAGAAAATGGCGTGACGTAAAAGTAGAAAAACAATAGAAATACGAATAGAGTATCAAGGATGATGGCTGAGATTGTAGATACGCCCAAGATATGATGAATCTTTTAATGGTTTAGATCTCTGTACATATTGAAACATGACCTTTACAACTGTGAATTATAGCAGTCAGTATCTATTGGCTGTAATTGTGATAATTCGTCATACATCTGTATATTTNTAATAATAATAATAATAATAATATGTGGTATTTATATAGCGCCGATATCCTCTGAGTTCAAAGGCGCTTCACATGTATAGATCATTTCACACGGACCGCTGTTTAAGGCGCAATTGGCAGCCACGCGGCTTACAATCATGAGGGGTTAGTAATTAGTATGGGTTAGTAGTAAGGCCTAGCCACACACACCGGGAATCATTCCCTACTCTTATGCGAACAGTGGTGTGGGTTCTTTAACGTCCCTCTAATACAGGTTAGTGAGTGAAGTGTAGAGAGACGGGAACAATGAGAATTACAACAATGCACCGTTGCTACGGGCATGGCAACTCATCATGAACCAGCTAAACTGGACACCTTGAACAGCTTTTGCGACCAATACACATATCTAGTGAACTTATATTCTCATATACTTTTCACTTTCATTTTTAAACCTAATTTACATTGCGCATGCTCTCCAAAGCTGTCCCGCATGAACTAAAAATCCTTATTTTTGATCTATTTCAGATTGGGAAAATGCACCAAGTGGAGAATGGAATGTAGAGAATTTCAATATTAAAACTGAGCGAAAATTCCGAGACTATTTGCCAGGACGTGAGTTCTTGAACGTCGTGATCACAATTGAAGTGGACAGACTAAGAACATTTTATGTTTTGTACTACCTTCTACCTTGTGTTGTGTTGGCATTGCTTATGTTCATTAGCTTTCTTATACCTCCCGACACTGGAGAAAGAATTGGTTTCTGTTCATCATTACTTCTGGCATTGAGTGTCTATCTTCTCCTGTTTTCTGAACTTCTTCCAAACACAAGGCRCATTTCTCTTCTTGGAGCATTATTTGTCGTGGTGTTCATAGAAACTGCCTTGGCTCTACTGGCAACAGTAGTGGTACTGAAAGCATTCCACGCTATTAATGAAGTCCCTACAATTCTTAGCTTTCTGTGTGGTCTTGGCTGCGCTAGAAAAGAAGATAAAAGAAAGAAAAAGCAAAGCAAGGTAATACCTCTATCTTCTGCGATTCTTAAAAGATTCAAACGCGTGGAGAGCGGTGAACCCAACGCAGTCCAGCTTGAAGAATTTAAAACGTCTGAGGAGCTGCCAGAAAATACGACGGTATCGGCAAAGAACGAAGATCAGCGAGAATCGGAAAATCAGTACGAGGAAAGCCATCTTCGCTGGAGTCGGGTAGCACGACGACTGGACCGTTTATTTTTCTGGATTTTCATGGTTGGAATGTTGGCATCTGTAGTCTATATCATTATCAATGCAGAAGCAGTGACATCTTTGAACATCTAAAAAATATATATCTGCCGAGACAGTTGGCCTCGAACGATTTGAGCAGGTGATGGTCATGCCAGTAAATGCATCAACCAAGACTTTCTTACATTTTTACCGTCCCGATGAAAGATACAGTTGTGAAATTAAGCTAAACTACAAACTCATGATTTAGGACTGCCTTTAACTCCCGGTGTAAATATCTGTAAATATCTTTACTAACAACTCTTTAGTTATAACATTTTGTCTGTGAGCTTCAAGCTGCTTCTGTCTAATCGATGAGAGGAGGAATCTTTAACGCTATCATTTCAGCATTTGCACGCTCAAAGTATAATATGGAATTGACGAGATATTCATTGAAATAGGGATCATTTCAGTTTCTAAAGTAACAACTAGGAGGTGTCAATCATTCCGCAGTTTTATACAAGATATTTTTTGTGATAAGGGAGTTATATATATAAGATACGCTCCATGGATACTTAGAAAGCATTTGCTTGGATTAAGAACTTGTTTGATGCAGATCAAAAGTTTTCGTACATTAATACACACTTCTTGCAATTAACTAACACAAAGATTTMAAGCGAACATTCTGTTCTCTTGTGTCTTCGGTGTCCGAAAATTAGTTTACACCTGTTTTTGGCTGATCTTTCCCGGGGATTTAACGTACAAGGGAAAGGATGTGAAACAGAAAGAAAGGTGTGGACCGATAAAGAGAGCTATAAGCCAATAACTTCGGGATCTTTCTGGAGCTTTTATTCCAGCCGACTAACAAAACTTCTTACAAGGTGTGTTATCCTATTCGCAAAATCAATTTAGTATCTATTTATTTTTCTTTGACACGAAATTTACAGTGCGGCTATCGGAACCGGGGCCACTTAAAAAAATGGTGGGAACTAGCGGTAAACTAGTGTGAGCTGCGTCGGTGTTTCTAAAGAAACAGTTATGTAAAAAGATAAATTGAACACCGTAAAAAAGTATGTGGAAAAACTTACTGACGTTTCGGATGTTAATCCTTCGTCGGAGTAAAGAAAGCGAGCCAATCTCGTTTACGTATGAAAAGAATTCAGGTGTCTGAGCCAATCATATGACAGCAAAAACCAGACATGATAGAAGTGATAACAGCATTGACCAATCAAATTGCAGCGTTCTCACGGTAATTTCAAACTTCAGCTGAATGCTGCAATATGATTGGTTAGTGCTCCACTTTTGCTAGGTRGCCCCGGTTTCTGTAAYCAMACTGTAAGATTGCAACTAGTTCTAACATGGGTGTAACTATAAGATATCCTATAAAAGAATGATTCATAAGGATCATTTGAAATAYGCAGTACTGATTCCAGAGAAGAAAAAGCATTTAAAATGAATAATAAAACTCGAATGATCGGCTACATTTGTCTGGTCTATCAATCTACTAGCGTGACAGTATCCCAAGCCACAATTAATGTTTTGGTTGATCCTGATTGCCTGAAATACAATGCCCCTCAAATTTAAATCTCAACCGCCGTRCATGCGCAATACCGTGATACTGACTCTTTGATTATTATTATGATGAATACATTTTTTCTATATACCTGTGTTAGTAGGCCTGAACTCGGGATCTTTTGATTCTTTGAGCTTWRTTCAACTACTGACTAGATTTTAGATTTTACAAGGTATTTTCTAAGCTACAAAATCAATTCAAATTTCTATATTTACTTAGCTTTGACATTAGAAGCAGAATACCTATTGGTAATGGTACTAAAAGGGTTTAATTACGAATTGAATTAACAACGTCAACTTTAAGATGACGCATTTAGGATTTTGAGGTTGCGTGACCGGCAGTCCGCCGTGTTGGTTGAGATTTTTCTCGAATAGAGAAATGTCTATACAGTACCATGAAAGTTTCAGAAATGTTGATTATGTTGTTTTAACTCTTTAAATAGAAATAATAAAAGAGAAATCTGTTCTTTTATGAGATGACGGCCATTAAGGATTTTGATGTTGCGTGACCGGCAGTCCGCCGTGTTGGTTGAGATTTTTCTCGAATAGAGAAATGTCTATACAGTACCATGAAAGTTTCAGAAATGTTGATTATGTTGTTTTAACTCTTTAAATA